TTTCTGCACAAGAGGTTTTGTCACTTTTAATGACTTGGGCTTTTATGGAAATCCTTATTCCTTTGTGTCAGGCACATATGAATTCTCCTCAGTGGACTCTATACAGCCAATTAAATCTTGCTCAGGATCCCTTGGACTTCCCAATTACCCTTCCTCCTTTCCTTACAGACTTTCTGCATTGGTGGTTGAACAAGGAGAGCACAACAAAGGGAATACCGCTTCCTTCACCTTGTCCAGATTTGCATTGAATCAAAGATACTTCTCCCTGAGGTTGGGGAGTGTGGGTCCATCAGCAAGAGATTCTGGGCAATGGTCTCAGATTGTAATGTCTTATCATTTCGACATCTTAAAGATTATGGTGGTACGGCATGCTTTGGTTAATTTTCTTCCATTGGTACAGTACCAACACAACATGTTCCATTCCAACAATTCCACCATTATGGCCTATTTCAATCACTATGGGGGCACCCAACCCTGTTTCCTTTGTGGTCGAACATTGGACCTCCTTTATTGGGTCCACACACTGCAGATAAATCTCCTTGTGTGTGCTGTTCTGGGTGCTTTTTACCTTATGACAGATTGTTTTTCAAGACCCAACCAGGTTTATCCCACAGAGTTGTTTCTCTACCCTCAGGTTCTTGGATGCCTATGCAATCAGTGGGGTACTCCTCATCTGGGTGCTTTTGCCACTTTACTCCAACACCAAGTTACCTTTTTTTTTTGGTCTCCAACTCCTCATCCTCAAGCCCTGGCAGTGGATTTTCTCAGTCAGAACTGGACCAGTCAGTTCCATATACTTTCCTTCCAGATTAGTTGACCTCTTCATTGTGTTGTTCCTCCAGATCGATCTTTCCTACTGAAGCTAATGAGGGTCATTCTTCCTTTTTGCCATCTTCTTTTCCGTCCATTTTCCACCTTTATTTCTGGTCTACTCTGAATATACTTCCATGTAAGTATGTGCTCTTCATGTTCAATTGCCCACATGGCCTCCTTTAATGGTTCCCATTTCCACCGTTTCATTCCCTGGCACCATTAATCTGTACATGACCTTTCTCTTTCTACTTATGATTTGTGATTTTCAACTACTTCAAGTATAGTTTTAAATATACATATATTTAGCCATTTCTAAAGTAAAATATCCCAACACCTTTTCACATACACTCTCGCCATCGGCTACATTGTACCAGAAATGAGATGCTTAAAACAGTACATAGAGAAAAATAGACTAAACATTTCCTGGAAAACAGGATGACCTTCATGAGATCACTAAACTACCTTTATATATATATATATATATATTACTCATTCAATTACACCACCATTCCCAGTTTGCCCCTGAAGAAGAAAGGTCCACCTTTCAATAGTGCTCAGGTTATAGGGTTTTTATTCATTTCTATAAAGAGTTCGTGAACCTACATGTTTTTCTAACATCATGATTATACAGAAGTGGTGTAGTCTCCCACATGTGTTCCTTTCCCAATGGGGATCACACTTTATGGGTGTTCTTCGTTTTTTTTCAAAGGGTGCTTATTTCTATCCCTTGCACCAGTCCCTTCGCCTAGTCAATGTAAGATTCTAGCTATACATGTGAAAAGAGGTAATGTACCCTATTGGAAGTTATTATTTTCCTATAGGTATTTACCTCCTCCCCACTGATAACCAGTGCTTTCTTTTCTGCCTAATCTTGAAGTGATAGTTTGGTAGAATTGAATAGAGGGAGTCACATGTGTCAGGAGGGTGCGTTGCACTCCTTTTGATAGAAGGTTGTCACCTGATGATTTTCGTGCGAGATGCAGTTGAACCATGTTGATTGTGGGGTATTTGGGAATTCAAGGCTTGTGAAAAATGTTTTGCATATAGAGTGCCGCACTGAACGAGAATAGCTTTACATGTGAGAGGAGGTAAGTACCTATCGGAAAAACATTTTCAGTATAGGAAAATAATAACATCAATACTGTTATTAAAGAAGTAGTACTTTAATTAGTAAAGTAAATGTAATTTTAGTAATGGAATATCTAGTATTCCTTGAAACCGTCATATAATATTAAGTCATCAGTCTTATTTATTTATTCTAGTAATTAATTTGTATGTTCTTTTCAAAAGGTAATTATTAAGAACTGCTTTTACTCTGTTACAGAATCTACTTTCTAATTGAAATCATTTTGATTTACTTACAAACTGTTTAACCTAAAGTGATAAATTTTATCATGAACTTGAATTTAAAGAAATTTAAATTTAGTGACCAGTTTACTTACAAACTGTTTAACCTAAAAGTGATAAATTTTATCATGAACTTGAATTTAAAGAAATTTAAATTTAATGACCAGTTTACTTACAAACTGTTTAACCTAAAAGTGATAAACTTTATCATGAACTTGAATTTAAAGAAATTTAAATTTAGTGACCAGTTTGATGTTAACTGAATTTGATATCAGACTAGCAGGCATAATTTCATGTTCTATATATCTTCTACATACCTTTGAGCTATATTTGATATTTTATATGATTAGTCCTGTGAGTTTAACATGTTCAATTTGGCAATGTATATATAATTTACATTTATTAACTGATTTCAGTTCCACTGACATAATTATTATGAATATAGCTTTTCTTCATAAATCAGTGCATATTTTTACTTCATTTTTGTGATACTGTGTCAGCCCATCAACCGTACTTGTAGCTATGTCATTTGATAAAATTTGTAGAATTAGAACACAACAAGAATGATTAATTGGTAAAGAACTGGCTTTTTTCAATTTAGGTTTATTCATAACAAACACTTAAATACTTAATAGGTTTTTACAATTCAAACATCTGTAGTGTAATCACAACCCTAAAACTTACCACACACCTTGCATTTTCAAATATGAAGGCCTGGTTTGTAAATTTTTGTTGTATAATAAGCACCCAAAAACAAGACCTACAATGAATATGATCAAGAATCTAGTTTGCCATTTTTGGATAGATTGGTATATAATCACCAAAGCAGCTGTTGCGTCAGCGAGGTCACGTGACTAGTGTCACGCCACGTTTCTAGAAGTATCTTGTTCCTTCGTGAATGCCCTAGCATTCACTAGATATAGGGTAGTCTGGTATATATAAGATGGTCACGGCGTGACGTGATAATGCGTGTGTAGGTAGTGAGTAATTGATCTGCAGTCAGAGAGTATTGTTGAAGTTCGTTATAGCGTTTGTTTTAGCGCGAATGTTGAAATTAAGTGTATCGTAAAGTTATATTCAGAAAGAATAAACCAGTTTTATTAAGTAAGGACTTGTATCGCTAAAGTTTCGTCGGAACAAAGTTACGGAAAGTTAATTAACAAACGGAGACGTAACAAATTGGTGTCAGAAGTGGAATTAAAAAAAAATGGAAATGAGAGGCGGAAAATCAAACTACAGTTTAGCAGACTTGATGGCAGCAATACAAGAGCAACAAAAGAAACATGGCGTGACACTAGTCACGTGACCTCACTGATGCAACACAGCTTTAAAAGTGCTATACATTGTAAATTAACCTTTTGAGGATGTTATTCCTATTCTGATAGTTTTCTTTCACAGATAATTTAAAGTAAAAGTAATTGAATAATGCTTACAGGATTACTAGTAGTCATTCTGTGTAATATGATGGAATTACTCACATTAAGCAATTTTTCAAATATGATAAATATGATTGTAACATTATTTGTAGTAACACCAGTACCAGTGAAATACTATTTACTCTAACTACCCATAAAATGATTAAGTTGATATACCTAAGAAATCAATAATAATAAGGTAATCATACTTTGGCAACAAACACTATTCATTAAAAGCAAGTGAAGTGCCAGTCTTGGGCAGAGTTAATCCACAGATAGACGTTATTTGTGTCTTGAAGTCTATTATAGGAATAAGAAAAAATTAATTTCAAGGGTGTGACACTTAAAAAGTCATTTGTCATCAACATGCACATATTCTGGTTGCATGAAAATATATTTAGGCTCACCACTACATGGTTTTTTACTTTTATAAAAGAAAGTGCTCCTTGAAAATTCAAGGAATTCATGAATTCATGCTCAATATGCACAGAGAAACTAAGTGTAATGCTGTTATTACTAGCAATAATTTGAGATAGTTAGCAAAGTTGAGGATTTGGGGTAATTTGGGAGTCTAGCAATTGTATAGTGGAGACTACATTTACAGAATTAGAGCTGAGAGGTTAACTCAATTAATCAACATAATCAGTTGCCTATGAATATTAATGTTTAATGTAGTGTAAGATAATCAATTAATTTAAGTTATGATTAAATCTATTAATGTCATGAAAATAATCAACTAATCAAAATTAATGTTTCCAATTATTCCAACTATCCAAGTCTCGTTATTAGTTGAATTTAATTGATTGATGAGTTCAGAGCTTAATCAGTTAGCATATTCTGCTACTTGCCCTTCTCTAATAAGTACCATATCTCATAAACCTGTAAGCTGTTTTTTCTTGTCTCTGAAAATCTGTGTTGAAGCTTTCTTAATATCTATTAAAATTTGAGCTTTCTTATCACAAATTTCTGTCACTGTAAAATATGTCAACTCAGTGTGTATTATTTATAGCTGAGAGGCTATTAAAATGTATTTCTTTCAATGTAATTGAAGTTTCAGTTGATCCCATTTGATTTCTAATTAAAAACAACTAGAAACCAGTTTGATGATGTGTTTCATTCCTTTTGGTGATATGCTGTAAGTGTAGGTACAAATAATGGTTAATAGTTTATTTATATGCAATTTTTAAATAATAGAACACAGGAGTATATGAAGAAAACTGAACTAACTTATGAGAATTACATTAAAACATGTTCAGTAAAATGATGGAAATTGACCATGATAATATGCTGTATTTTCTCACAACCTGTAGTGGAAGTGAGCATTCTCAAGTAAATCTGTTGCCATTCTCATTTGGTAAATGAAATCTTCCTCTAAGATTGATTTTTTTTTTTTTTAAGTTATAATGGCATATTTTTCCCCTTCAGTGTCTCCGTGAATTGAAAGAAGCAGTAATTGCAGCACGAAAAGATCCAGGCTGTAAAGTGCTTCTTATAAATAGCTATGGAAGTATATTCTGCTCTGGATTAGATCTTGCCGTTCTTGTGGGTCTTCAGAAGAAGCAAATAGCTGAGGAACTAGCCCTTGCTGTGAAGTAAGTGGGATTTGTTTTCTCTGATTAATTTTAAACAGATGTTTTGAACCTTTGAAAATTCTTGAACTTAGTCAAGTGAGATGTAAAAAAATACATTAATTGAGTATTTCAATCATTAGCATTTTACAGAGAAATATGTACAGCAATGGGAAGAAAAGTACTATAATATGATAGACTAAAGCCATCACTACTTCTAAAACTGTAATTGGTGAGAAATTTAGGAAAATTCATTTTTTCCAACAATATCTGATTCAATACTAAATAATTATTGATTCCTTATGAGAGCAACAAATGATCTAATGCTCAAAATCACCATTCAATAATTGTTTTAGTTTACCATCCTCTCTTGTGTTTTTAGTTTTACTAAAATCAGATTCCCATGTTGGCCCAATTATAGGGTGATCTTGAATATCAGGCAAACCCCATTTTCCAAAACCATGGGAAAGAAACAAAATTGAATGTCATAACGACCTTTTTTTAGGTCTGCAAAACCAATACTATAACTGAACAGCCTGCAGGTGCATTAGTTGCAAGAGTTAATGATGACTGTGAGCAAACATCTGGTGTGCATGTGTAGACAGATGCTATCTGGACATTCAGGAATATGACAGGCTAGAGTGGGGGAAGTGACTTATGGTCAGCCTCAATTATAAAGTGACTATGAATTTTATAGCCTAATTATTAATCAAAAAACACTGCCTACTAATTGGGCCAATATTGTAATTATTGTTGTCACATAATATGGCTTGGACTGTTTATCGAAATGGTATTTTAAATATATCTTCAATAGATCATCAGAATTTTACAATACATTACAGTGCTTCCTTTTAATAACTATGTAATGACAGAGTCACAAGTTCTGGGAATATCTGTAAATATCATAGCAAAAAGTTTCAATTTCTTGTTCTTTCTTCTTCTTACATGATAGCTCAAAAACATTTTAAAACTCATATTGATATTTTGTGTGTTGAGAAAATACTGTTCTGTGTTTTATAATACTGGATATTTTATGGAATAAGGTCAGCCAATTAGTAATGGGTAATCATGCACATATTTAACTGTATGCTCAAAGTGTTAGTTTGTTCAGTGCCATCACTAAGTAGTAGTATTTTAATAATATGTAGGTTTTTCATTATTTCTCCCATTGTTTGTTTTTACAGAGATCTACTGTTTACATTAGCATGTTTTCCAAAGCCACTAGTAGCAGCAGTGAATGGACTTACTGTAGGTCTTGGAGTCACTCTGTTAACATATTGTGATGTTGTTTTTGCCAGTGACAAAGCTGTTTTCTATATGCCTTACTGTAAACTTGGTTATGTTCCAGAAGGAGCAGCCACCTTAACTTTGCCTCAGGTAGTAGGATCAACTGTGGTAAGTACATGTATAATTTTGTGTCCTGTGAAGTTAGACTTAGTAAAATGTGCTTTTCTTTATATGTTACACAAGAGGTCATCATGCGATGTGATATACACTTAATCCATTTTAACATCTTAACCCCATCTAGTTGTCTGTACGAAGTAATTCACCAAAGGTTTTTTTCAAGCAAATTCAGTTAAGGGAGCTCACTATAGATATGATGTCTAATACTTTTGATAATGTAGTTTACAATAGGCCTCACAAATGTACTCAAAGTAACATTTAAATGTTGATATCTTTTTTCACATCCTCCTCAAATAGTCTATTGCTAATTTCAAATCAGAGGTTTGGAAACAATCTTTCATAATTATTCATATTGTCACCAGCCATGTTGGTAACTATTTTGTGCATCCTAATGTTTTGCTGACTGTACTATTCACCATCATCAGGGCAATTAAAAACAATAATGGTTATTATGAATACATGGTTCAAATCATAAAGGAAGCATTTGTTGTCATTTTCCCTAATGGGGGTGAACTGTAAAATCACCAAAATATTGGTAAATAAAAAATAGTTTACACAGTTGTTGTCACTATGCATAATTATGATAGAATTCGCAATACTCAACCAATTAATACTCATAAGTATGTGAAATATTTCCCAGGCTTACCTTTGTCTGTCACAAGTTAATACCAGGTGGCCTTACAGTTAATACAAATAATCAAGTTGGGCTGAGTCTATGGTAGTCATAATTGTACATAAAATGCTATTTATGCAATACAAGAAACTGATTCATGAGGTTTAAAAACACCTAAACTGGAGAAGCATAGATGCTTTTTAGGCCTAAAAAAATACAAAGAAAATCAGTGTTGAAATATGTTCTTTATCACATTCTTCTTAATTAATATACAATGGATTTTGTACCACAGTTTTATGAAAATAGCATTTGAGTTCTATCTTTTGTTTGCTACTAGTTACTTCCTAAGAAGCTATTCATTTTATTAGTAAGCAGTACAAGAATCTCATACTATATCTTTCAAGATGAAAGTGCTTACTAAGATTAGTAATGAAAGTTACAATGGTTTATTTGGATAGTTGCAGTTTTTAACCCTTCTTTTTTTTAAATAAGGATGTATTAAAACTATCTCCATGATTACTGCAGTATGAGGTTAAAGCCTTTGTATTCTTTTAACAACTTGCAGTTTAAATTTTGGTACATTATGTTTTTTTTTGTTGTTGTTGTTGTTTTGTTTTTTCTTTACTGAATTGTTATTTCCTATGCTATATCATTACAAAGCATACAAATTAAAATGCATTGACTTTTGCTCTCTCATTGTTACATAATGGCATTCAATCAATTTTTGGTTTTAATCATGCTAGATTTTAAAGATTCCCAGTTTCACCTAGGAATTCACCCTAAAACATGCATTTAAATGGAATAAGAGAGCAAAATTCAATAAATACAATTCTCAGTCTGATGAATCTATTGTAATTATTAATGTTCTACAATTGCTGAATAAAGTCAACTTGAAAGTGATTATGATATAACCACAAGCTAAATGTATATTGATGAAATTAATGAAGGCTTTGTTAATGTTTTTAATCATGTATTGAAATAATGTCTATTTTGAGAATAGTTAAATTTCTAAAACTTTTGTTTCACTGAAGGCAGAAGTGTACCTTTTAATATCATAGAAAGGGTTGCATTGTACAGAAATTTATTAAATGCACTAATAGATAATATCATAAATGACACAGAGGTCAATTAAAAACAAAAAATTAAAGTTTTTTGTAATAGTTAGATGCTTGTATTTAAGTACATTAAAACTTTGTATTGCTTTGAGTCTTTCTTAACTTTGGTAGAAAAATGTAAGTTTACAACATTATGAAATTTATTAAAAACATATATACCAAAAACAGAAGTAAATTTGTAAAGTAAACAGTAATTAATTTAATCTTAGGTTTATTTAAAACAAAGTTTAAAGTATAAATATAGAAATATTTAACAATACAAACATCAATGTATCAGAACATATTATTTTCTAGGCATCAGATATGCTTTTGCGGGGTTGTAGGGCTACAGCTCTTCAGGCTCAATCGTTTGGGCTAGTATCTGAGGTCATTTGGCCAACAAGATTAATGGAAGAAGCTATACCTCATGTCCAAGCTATGGCTGCCAATCACTCTCAAGTAATTATTTTTATTAATTTATCTAGAGAATAGAATTAAGTTAGTTGTTAAACTCCTTGATTTATTTTTACAATATTAACTTGTAAGTTAAATTATTGAAGACACATAGCAAGTTCACACAATGTGTTAAGATTGGTGCATTATTCAGACAGTAAATATCTGGATTGTATGCTTTTAACATTTTTTACTAGTTATTTAGCTAGAGAGAGGAAAAATGCATTGATGTATTATGTATATAAGATCTGCAGTTATCAATTTTAGTTCTGTTTCTTATTTGGAATTAGTATCAATCAAATTGATTAATATCACATCTGACCATATATTGCACAGAAGTTTCATTAGGTTTCTATTCTAATAGTGTAGAAAGTTAAATCCTACTTTCAGAAGTTGCTTAAACAGTTTCAGTGGTTGAAGATATTACCTATTAAAGATACAGTTGTTCTGAACTGTGAACTTATTAAACAAATGTAGTAAATATAATTTAGACAAAAATACTTGTCCAAGTACAACCTTTCATTAGTCCTCTTGATAATTAATATGTTTATATGAAATATTTCAAAATAAAAATAATACATACTATTTTGCTGAGCAGTTATGACTGGTTATTTTTTAACCCTTCAAATTGCTAACTTATACTGTTCACTACCAACATATTGCATTAAATTGTGTAATTTAAGTTTTTACTTGTTACAGCACAAGTGTAAAAATGGATCAATAAAAAAACTGGATGAAACCACTCACTTTCTATGTAGAAAAAAAAAGACCTCAACAGCAATTAATTGGATTGATTGCAGTATTGATCTTGGTATTTTTTTAAATTTTTTTGTATGACTGATATATTATAAGGACACTGTAACAAACAAAATTATAGACCTACAGACAATTTGGTGTATACATAGTTTAGAAAAAGTTTTTAAAATTTGATCAGGTTAAAAAAAGCAGAAATTTGAGGTTGCCAAATTTTTTGAAGTTTTTGATGTTTTTTGAAGTAGACCCAAACTACGTAAGTCACTTGTTTCTAAAACAACCAAATTAAAATAAATATACATGTACATGTATGTTTATAATTGTGTGCTTATTTTAAACTTGACCACAGGTCTAGAGATGAGAATTTTCCATTGATCCATCGATTTTCAATTTTTTTATGGATTGTCAGAGTCGTTTTTGAGATCAGTGTAAATTCAAGGAGAATATATTAGGAGGTTGATGTCAAATGTTTTTGTGAAAATTAATTTAGTTTATTCTGAAAAACATTAGAACAATTTACTTTTTCTTTACATATAATCTAAATAAATCTTGGGAGTTGGGGAGACAGTACATTTAGTAGTAAGATGGGTTTAATATTATATTATTACAAGACTAATAATTCAACTGTATCAATAAATTATTAATTTTTGACTTTCTTGTGGTTTATCACTACTTCTATAAACAAGATTAATGCTTGTTTTATCTAGTTGGCATACTAAATAAGATTGTCTTGTTAAAATTGTCAATCATATCAGAAGTCTGAAATTATAAAACAATAACAACAAAATAAATTGAATGAATATATATATATGTTAAAATTAAGTTTGTATGGAACTAGATGAGAAGGACAGTACTTGTTTCCATATAAAAATATTTGAAACAAACTTTCTTACTAGTGGGATTTGTTATTTGACTGGTTCCTAATATGTTGTTTTGTACATTATATTCTGTACTCAAATTTTATTGATTCTTGCAATGATGGGAAATTTTTACATATTTTGACATGTGCAAAGAATGAGCTGCTATAAATTACTTTAAAAAATGCTTCTTTGAATACTTTCAGTCCATCTGCATTTGGGTTCTAGGTGATCCAAGACCCTCTCTCTCTCTTAGTTTTCTATGCCTAAAGCAAAAGCTTGTACTATATCATGGCTGTTTTTTGTTGTTTTTTTATTTTATTTCCTGGAGAAAAAGGTAAATAAATATATTATATTTACCCTTCAATCTCACCTATGATACTATAGCTTTTATAATGATACTGCGTGCAACACATGTAAACAACGAAGATGTGTTTATTATTGATGTGTTGTAACTGTTAAATGCATTGTATATCGTAATTAATATAGGCAAAGGTAATTTTTGTTGAAAAAAACATTAAATAAAGAACAGCTAACAATATGTTGGTTGACATACCTTTCAGAGAAGATTTGTGATTTCCATGTTCTTTATTCTTATCCCTGAAAGTTCTTAAGAGTACTGACTGTTCAAGAAAAAAAATCCCATAATAAATGAATAAATGCTGAACTCTTGTATGTTTACATAATAACTACTTAAGCTAAACATTAGCATTGTTTTATTTTGGATTAATGGATCAAAATTATAATGAAATTGTTGTGAAAAAACATGTTTGTACAAATGTAAAGAATTTTATTATACAGGTGTAAAAAACATCAGACTGGGTTCAGAAGTATATACAAAAAATCAAAACAGAGCTGTAGCTCATATGATTTAAAAAACATTATACACATCACTAACTGTTTACACCAACTACATTTATTAATGTTTCTAGAGTTATTCATTCATATGTTACTTTTCTCTACCTAATATGTGTTATGTTTTTGTTTTTGTGTGTAAAATATGATAGCTTTATTTTTTACATTATAATGATTCTTTGTTATCAATTATTGAAAGACAGAAAATGATATAATAATAATAATGTAATCAATTTTGTTATTATTGTATATTTATATTATTTTTATTTTAAGCAGACAAAGTATTTTAGAAACATTCTTGTATTTTATGAGAACTTATAAAATATGAGAAAGCTATATTCAAAGTACATGTACAGAAAGGTGCTTAGTACAGTGACACATTTGTAATAGGCTTGCTGGACTTAGTAACATCTGATTTCACCTGTTGTAAACAAAGTGAATTTATAGATAAAAATGTATTATTACTATTAAAACCTAATTCTAGGATATCTAAACCTAGTATTTTTATTTTGTTCAAAGTTAAATAATGAACACTAGATCCATCTTAGTTTCATGTCAAACATAATATTAGCTACTTTGGGAGAACATAGATTAATCATTTTTAACTACTTCCTTTGATGGAAAAACAAACTGGTGCTTCTACAGAATTTTTGAAAAAAAGGTACACATAAATTAAAATGTGTTGGATTCAATATTCAAAATTAAGAAATGTCATGAAAACCATGTTATGTTGGTGAAAGAAAAATTGGCATGATCCATTTTTTTTAATATATCATCTTATACCTTAAAATGTTGTATGTAATTGACAGTTTCACAGAAAAACATAATGTGGAATGATATAGAAAATTCTTCTGAACAAAATTCTAACATAAAAGTGGTTTAATATCCTGATAGATATCTTGAATTTAATTTGGTTGCCAATTGCAGAATGATTGATTAAAGTAGAAAAAAATACATAAAATTGGAATTTGATGAATTGGTTTAAAAATTAAGTTTGGAGAGAGAAATGGTGCTTTATTACAAAAAGTCTGTTATCTTTTTATTTGTTTGTGGTAAATCAGAGTAAGTTGTATGAAGTAAAGCATGATTTCAGTCACTACATCAATAGGAATGCAAGTTTTACAAAAAAAGATACAATATAAAATTAAGCATTTTGGCTGTGGGTGTAATACGAAAAGAAGTTTATCAATCAGATTGTGTGGTTTCTAGATATACACACACCTTTATACTCTCATTCTGAAAAAGCAGTTGAGGTTATTCAGCTTTCCAGTTAAATTTAACACTCAGATTTTTTTCACTTGATTTGTGAAAACACATAAGCTCACATTAGGTAATAAAATCCACAATCATCATAGCTGGAAGGAGGAGAGCTGTCATTACTCATCATCATAATAGGGAGGAGGAGATCTGACTTTACTCTGAACTACATCTTATTATCTGGTCTTGGTATGGGTTTTGTTACATAATGTGACCTTCCATTTTGTAATTTCACAACTGGTAGTCATGCTTATAGTAGCTTGATTTTGTCACATGAATGTACATTAATTAACTTGGTTATGGTGTCAAATGTGCAAATAGGAATTTAATTTTTTGCATATGCTCATAAAAATAAAGTATTGACTTGCATTGCAGGATTCTTTTCGCCTTATTTTGAATGTTTAACAGTATATACAATAAATGTCTGATGTTCAGTTTAATTTTTACAAATAAATACCATTTTTTACATCAGTCTAAAGAACTTTGTTGTATTTAGTTTATTTAATATTTTATGGTAACTCAAAAGTTCGTTAAAAAGAAACATTTTAAACTACTTACATTAAAATTTATTCTCATAAGAAATACTGTGTTTGTTATTCAACACAACTTCTCAGAAGTGTCATAATTCTTTCTATTTGACTTTCTGTTGTAATTGGTTGTCAAAACATCATGTAAGATGCAATACATAAATGTGTACAGAATTCAGCAAAATTAGTATAAAGAATTATTTATGAGTTATAAGGTGTACAGAGCCCTCTGTAGGCCAGGCCATCAAAAAGAGGTTCCATGGCATGAATTGTTTGCCGATTCACCATTATACAGATATGATTCACTGGGCAGGTACAAACATGGTAGGTCTCATATCGTACCGTTGTTATGTGGCCACAAAAATCCCATCTACCACATCTTTCCAGCTGTAGAGGAAAGAAATAGACCCATCAGTGAGACATGTAATTTGCATTTCTGTGGGTTATTTTGAATTTACTGACATAGTGAAAAAGTTGAACCACTTTAAGCAACACTTTCCTTGCTTTATGTGCTTGGTGTGTATCTTGTATTTTAAAATATATATATTACTATAAAATTACTTTTTATTTTCAAAATTTGGTGACTAAAACTTGTTTTTTTATTATTAGTTTTGTTTATGCATAGTTTTATTACTTATGTAGAAATACAGATTGTTTTACTGAACTTTATGTATAATTTTTGTGTGGATGGTTTTCTTAAAGTTTTCACATATATCTTGCATAACTGTATTGTATTCCTTCAAGCAACTTTGAGTTAATCTTTTCCTTTATAGTGTTCATCATGATATAATGATTGAAACTCAACAAATCTGATTTTTTCCTTTATATAATCAATATTTTCACATGCCATTTGATTTAATCCAGTGTCTATAATATGACAATTCTTTTGCACCATCTAGTGTTCTGCATTCATTCTCTCTGCTAACTTGCTTATCTGAGCCAGACTCTTTTTCTTTTGAACTGATATCTACCCAGAAAGGTTTTAAACACAATATTTTAACCTGAGTTTTGACCTCTCAAGTTTGCACCTTAACTGGAAGACTTTTTGAAGATTATATACATGTGCATATTTTTGTGATTCATAAGCTTTTGTTTTGTATTGAACAGTATACTGGCTTCTTCTTCTTTTTTGCCAGGAAATCTGAATAATATTCACCTCAGTACAAGTCATATAATTGTAACCAAGAGCTTGGAGGAAAGATAAGTGACTGAAACATGTTTTAAAAGAAAATGGAAATATAGTGTATAAGACTGGGTCAGTAGAAGTAGGGTTCCTGTTACCTCTTCAATTTAATGATAGCTCAAACCTTTATTGTTTAAATTAGTTCCAAAGATTCATAATACAGGAATGTTTTAGAAATTATGGAATTTCTAGTATAATTTTTTAATTTTACTTAATACAGAATGACTTCAGTTTCTGCACTAACAGAAATATGGGGGAGTTAAAAAGAGATACAGCATCATAACTTATCATTTGAACTGTAGGATCATCATGTTTAAGCTTCTAAACAAAATAGAACAGAAAGAAGTGTTCTTTAATAGTTAAGTTCAGAGCCAACTTGACCAGTTAGGTAAAGTAAGCAAAGAGAAAGGACAAAATTTGCAAGATGGAGAGAAGAACGAAAAAATAAAGTGAGAAGAACTAGGGAGAGTACATTGTACAGGTGTTGTGAATGCTGTTTTAATATGTGTCAAGAAACAAAATTATTCTTTTCTTTACAAATATGTCCATTGCACTAAGATTTCTTCTTACATTGCCAATCATAGTTGCTAGTGGCAAATGTACATCTAGCTTTATAGAGCTAATGCTATCAAAACCTATTTGAGATTAACAATGAAGCAAGAATATTTAGCTGATCTTCACTGAGCATGGCATAGCAGCAACCCAGACGGAAAGCTTGTGAGAGATTTTGTAGTATTAAAAGATAGAAAAGTACAATTCTTTTAAAACTGATGTCTGACAATAAGCATGGACTATTAACCTTCTGTTATTTACATATTTGTAAGTACTGAAAAATGTTACCATTACAGAAATGAAATAATTAAATATCAGTCTGAATAATGTGTGCATTTGATTTTATTAGCTCTGCTTATTTTCCTGATTAGTCATTCTTTTGACTTCCAGTGATTTGTAGGTCAAACACTATAAGTAGTTTTAACATTATCACAGATGAGGCTGTCATTTGGTGAATTCCTGTTGTCAAACTAGCCATCCACCCAATTTGTTCAAATCTGGTGAGAAAAATGTCACATATTCCAAAATTGTTTTCAGTTTTAAAAGTCATCTTGTATACGTCTCATAAGTTATATTATCATTTTACATTGATTCAAAGAATCTGACTAGATATTATAAAACAAATTTTCTAGGTCTCAAAACATTGCATTCATTTTATGCCATTCATTTTTAGCATACATCATTCTTTGATAGATTGTTTAGGCACAGTGTTCATGATGAAATTTTGTTGAATGGATGGCAACTGCCTGTTGTAGAAACACAACTATAAAGGACGACATTTGGAAAGTCTCTTCTGCTTGCTATTTAAAAAACCTAAAATTAGTGTTTTATTTCAGTTACATTTTATGAAATAATAGGAAATCTTCTAATTAATTCCAAGTCAGAGATTCTTTTCACCAAATTTCATAAAATTAAAAGAAACAAAATTACAACAACTTTTGTGTCTTCATTTAATGCATTATTTACCATTTATATTATCATATCGCTTTATTAGCTAAATTTCACTGAAAAAAAAATTATTGTCCCAATGAATTCAAATTCTAGATGCCTCAGTTTGCTTTAGAATTGAAAAAGAAAGTGTAGTGAGATAGGAAAGGTTCATGAATGAATATTCATAATCCATATCTGCCTTAAAAAGATGCAGTTTGTAAGTCTTTTGTCAGTAATTTACCTTAATGAAAACTGTTTTGTACAAATAATGCCTCAGTATTTCTTGAAATTACTACTGTATAATAAACTGGCTTAATAATTGCAAATATAAACACTTGTACCTAGTGTCTGTTTAGATATTTCATGAAATGACTAGCTTGTATGTTAACTGGTCTGTAATTTTGATCATTAGAACATGAATTAAAGTGGCAAAGTTCCAAAGTTTACTGATCATCATAGAAGTAAATAACGTGAATATTTAGTGCAACGAAATGACCTAGAATGCACCAGAAACACAACTATAAAGGACGACATTTGGAAAGTCTCTTCTGCTTGCTATTTAAAAAACCTAAAATTAGTGTTTTATTTCAGTTACATTTTATGAAATAATAGGAAATCTTCTAATTAATTCCAAGTCAGAGATTCTTTTCACCAAATTTCATAAAATTAAAAGAAACAAAATTACAACAACTTTTGTGTCTTCATTCTAGTGGCTTAGGTGGTCTCCAGAACCAGCCAAAAGTTTTATTTATTGCTCTCATTCATGTTATCAAGATAATTTGAAATATTGCCTCGTTTCATTTAGAATAATAAAGTATCTGAATATGCATTGTTCAAGTAATTGTTCTTTCACTATGCATAGTTGAAATACCTATGTATGAAAGTGACACGGAATAGCTATAATGAAAAAAAAAGAATGTTTATTTTGAATACTGTTATAATTTCATTACTGTCTGCTACTATTTGTTCAAATACCATATTTTCAGTAGCTATCTTGAGGGATCATGATTTGGCTCAATATTCTGAGGAGAACTGTGTAGAATATTTATTGAACTTTATTGTACCAAGTGAAAAAAGCATAAAACTAGTGAGTGATAAATGTTGCAAGTTCAGTTGAAGTTAAAAATACTCCTTATTTGGTTAATTGAAGTATTGAAGGCACAGTTATATGGTTTTAAAATGATACCCAAATTCTGATATGATAACTTACCTCCTCTAACATAATAGCTTTGACAACTTCTGCTCTCTATATGTACAAATTTTTGCTCACCATTAGCCTTGTGATGAGTATGCTACAACCCTCCACCTATAGGAGTGTGACACACCCTTCTATTGCAGATGTGTTTTAATTCTGCTCATTTTTATTTCATTTTTTTCTATATGTTGCACTTAATTTGTTAAACAAATGATTTAGTTGTTTTTACATACTGTATTATTCTGTGATAATTTGTGGATAGAAGTTGTTTTACCCACTTAAGTTTCTTTTATTCGAATTCCTCAGAATAGTGTTACAACTAATACTTCTTTTGTAACACTTGCCACTGTACAACAGGTGTAATTTCTGTGGATTCTGGCTCTGGTATTTCAGTGAGGTGGTTTCAGCCTTCTTTTGCTGTGATTTGAATTCTATCATGTCGGTTTGATATGTCTCTTGTACCAGGGCCAGATGCACCACTCCCTGGTTTGTCTGGTTTGAATGATGATGATTTGAATGGCCATTTACCACCTTGCTTCCTTTGCTGTGTAGTTAAGTGTTAAGTCTATGAATGTTCCCATGTTTTCTGTCAATCATTCCTTGACTTAATTTCCAAGGTATAATACATTTTGTCTGTTTGTTAATTTACCCTTGCTATACAGATTTCAGGCTCCATGCTGTTTAGTTCATAACCCAGTTACATTCTGGGCTCTGCATTTTTTCCTGGACTCTCAAACCTTCAAGTCTTTTTTTTTTCTCTCACCATCATATATTAGAATCAGTAGACGATTCTTCTCAATTAGAATGCTATCTTACCAGTCAATTACCTTTATCTGGGGTTCTATTCCTGGTTGTTTGTCATTTATCATTACATCAGATTTGATGTCCTGTAATTATTCTACAGCTGGACTGTTTTCATTGACCTTATTCGTTGTGCTATAGACGTTTTGGTTTTTTGCACCCTTTGGTGTATTTATACTCCAAGGGTTTGGTTGACCAAACATATTTGGTTGACATACCTATTTACCCATGCATCCCAGAATCACCTTCATTCTTGTCCTTGGGGTGTCAGGTCTTTTCATTCTGTGCTTTACTGTTGTTTCTGGCTTTGACTCTCTATGTTTCAGCCAGGTTGTCATGAACTTTGCCCATCTTCTATGTTCAAATGGTCTGCAGTTTTATTCATCACCTGGATGACTGGCCACTTTTGGCTCCATCTCTCCAGGCATCCCATACTCACATGCTTGTTTTTGGGGGGAAATCTACACGTATAAGTTGACTTGTTTTGTTAGATTAATTCTTTCTTACCACAACCCAATATCTCATCCTGCTCAGGGTTTTCTTAAAATCCTACTTTAGTAGGACCCAGCCTTCACTTCTTCAGTTGCATTCGATGGAGCTGATGGGTATCAATGCTGAATCCTCTCCTTCATTCACATTTCATCCTGCCTTACCCGTACTCCAGCTTCACGCCTAATTTTCGTTTGGTCCTTTGTGGGGTGATCTAGACTTTCCACATGTGTGGCT